TCTACATTTGGTCGATATCAAAAGCCGACATTGTAAGCACTCTGAGGAGCACACTGTTCCAGTTATGTCTTGTACTTGGAGTGGACTCGGAAAACCATTAGCCTCTGCAGATAAGAATGGGTTGTCTGTATCTGGACATGATCCACTGGTATGTTCAATATTCTCTATGTTATTTTATGTACTTTGAGGGTCCCTGGAGGGTTATATTCCAATGCTCATGTTCGAATATGTCTTGTCCATGGGTACATGAAGAGAAATTACAGTCAGAGTAACATAAACATGGAAAACCGGTATAGTTGTATATATACACGTTTAAAATGATTTTATGTATGGAATTCGGTTTTGGTGGTGTTCTATTGAATCTGGTTTGATTTCGATTTCAACAATAGTTAACATATTCGACCAGCTTGGCATTATTTCATGAATGAATGGTATAGACAACAGAATTCAGCTGCTGATCTCAATAAACAATCATGGAAACGAAATAATACTGTAAGGTTTAACTAACATACTGTTTCTCAAGAAGGCTTGCACAGAATGCCAGATCGAACCTCTCTTCCGGTGGATCTCTGATGCAATCGAACACGGCATCCACATTTAAGAAGTCTTCATCGGCTGTGTAACTGCAGCCACGGGACCACTCAATGTTAAACATGAATTGCTAATGCATGACATTGACATTATAGGAAAATCTTGCCATTGGTTGGTAAGAGTTTTCTTAGTTCTCAATTTCCTGTTTTCCGGTTGTATATGGTTGAACTGTAGGACTGGTCGGTGAAAATGGACGTGCAGCACCGGATCTTCTTTATTTCTCAAGTAACAAACAAACCTACGATTCAGGGGACATTAGGAAGTAGGATACGGTAATTGTTAGGGTACATAAAAAATGGAGTCTTGAAATTTAAAAGCAGTGGCAATATGTACATTTTATCATACATGTCTTTTGAGAAGTTAATAACCTCGTGAGAAGTGGTATCAGAACGACACTTTTACTGTTTAATTTCACGTTGAATGTTACAATGGGTGGAGTAGATACTATGGATAACCATAATGATAGTCCGCTACAAAAGTGTCACGAGTTAAGTGAGAATGTCGCATCTTAAAGAAAAAGCGGGTCACTAATCTTGAAGAAGGTGGATAATTGTGTCGCAAGTGTTGCGAGATTGAGTGTGGGAGAATGCCATATCTTGAAGAGAGAGAGAGACGAAGCACTGATCTTACATCAGAAAAGAAAATAGAGATCCTAGAATTTAAAAGCAATGGAATTATATGATAGTCCCATGACAATTGCAGGCGATTGATGCAACCAGAAAAAGGCAATGGAAACCAATTTAATCATCTAATTCAGCCTATAATTTACCAGCACAAATGTCTCATTTAGTAAAGGAATTTACCCGCTCTGTCACTATGCAAGCCATTCCAGCAGCTTTGACAGCAGCAAGTCCTATGGCACTGTCTTCTACAACGACACAGCTTGCTATTATATTGTATCATATCACCATAAATTAATGGTTCAATACTAAAATAAAACATAACGTTATGTATAATTTTAGAAAAAAATAATTAGGCGATTAAAATAGATACGGAATAGATAGAGTACCAAGCAGAGAATTAACCAAAAAAAGGTAAATTATGCGTTTAGTATCTAGACTATCAGATTTAGTCTATTTTAGTACCTAAACTTTCAATTTTTTCAAATACGTAACTAAAGCTTAGTTTTTTTCATATTAGTACCCGTCGTTAAAATTTTAGTTTTTGTTTATTTTAGTTCCAATTTAAAATTTAACGTTAATTTTTGAAAAAAATTAAAAGTTTAAGTACTAAAACGAACCAAAATTAATAGTTTAGGTACTAAATGTATTAAGTTTTTAAGATATGTACTAAAATGAAATAAAAACTAAATGTTAAATAAATTTTAAAAAAAAATTAGATACTAAAACAACTAAAATTAATAGTTTAAGTATTAAAATGCGTAGTCTATAAAAAAAACCTAAGAAGAGATTACCTTTCTTTCCCACCACCAATTTTGAGCAACTCTCCGTACAAATCCACATCCCATGTAACGCCCAATTCTTTCTGCAATTTGCACCATAAAAAATCCCTATGAGTAAAAAAACAGATAAAAGAATGAAAAGAACATGAAATTTACTTCATTGAAAGTATCATTGAACGAAACCCGGTGGCCATCCTTCTCGTATCAACGAGAACGCCATTGCAGTCAAAAGAAGAGCAGAGGGAAGAGTACTCGAAGACGAAGAAGAAGAAGCCGATAAGCATTTGATACTTAAAGAAGTAGAAATTCGCTTTGTTGCTGAAAAAGTAAACAGTGAACTAGATGGTGAGTTCTTTGCAATGAATAAACGGCGGTGGCCGAGAGCGGAAGCTTTGGGTTTAACGGTAGCAGAAGAAGAAATGATGATGATGAAGGAATTGTTGGCGGTAAAAGAGAGATAGCGGTTGAAGCCATTTGAAGCTGTGATTTTTGCTCTCAGAAGATTGATTCCGTTGGTTATGATTGGTTGGTGTTTTTTAATTTTTTTTTCTCAGCTTATCCGCCGCAATTTCCCACGTCGGTCTTTCAACCGGAATCAAACCGGATCGGGTCTAATTTAGGATATGGTAAACTACATCCCATGTCACTTTTGTTTTGGTTTGTTTTATTTTGATCATCATTTTTTAAAAGTTATGTTTCGGTCATTATATTACCAATTTATTATATTCTAGTCACTTAGTCATGAATTCTCGTTAGTTTGATGATGTAGCCTTAAAAAATGATAAATTTTTATTTGATCTCTAGACTTTAGAAAAAATCATTTGATCTTTAAATTTTCTCAACCTCTCTTTTACCTCACATCGTCATTGCTTACTGCAATACTACTCCAATCACCTTTTCCGACAATGATGAATCTGAAAATGTTCATCTTCGTCTCCTTTTCTCTACTCTCCTTAGAGAATAAAAGATCGTTTCCAGTGACCAACATATCAATTTAACACTTCTTCAACTCATTATTTTAACTTTTCAATCCACTTAAAATCTTTGTAAACTAATATTTTAAAAAATTAACTGACCCTATTCATATAATGGGTAAAGGGAGGTAGGGTAGTTGGTTACCCCACCGTGAAGACCAATTGAATTTGTTCAAACATTGCAAAAAAAATTCAAAGTTTTTAAGTTTTTAAAAGGTGAAACAAACAATTTTGGGTATGGTTTCGAAACCCCTCAAGAGGTTTTGAAACCCCTAAGGCAGAATGTAAATCTGGCCTACAGGTTTCGAAACCCTGTTCAAATAGTCAAATTTTTAAATGAAGGTTTCAAAACCCTTTTAAAGGTTTCAAAACTCTGGGCATAATTGCAGATTTTTCAGCTCACAACGACTCCAAATCTCCCCAATGGTAGAAACGGCTAGTAACTCATTCCAACATATAAAAATAAGTTGATGACACTTGAAGAAAGTTACCAACACCTATCCAAGCATTCATACACAAGAGAAAAAAATTCAATCATTTTCTTTTCAATCATTCTTTTCTTTCTTTGTAAATATTTATGTTTTGAGCTTAATTGTATATCTTTAGATTTTGTTTTATGAGCTAAATCTTTGTAAACACCAACCTAGAGAGGTCTTATTGTTTACACATTTTTTATCCTTTGTAAAGAGGTTTTGGTTTTAGTTTGGTTTGAAGTTTAACCAAGGAAAAACTTGGAGTTGTAATTACTATTGATCATTGAAAAAGAAAGAACAAACTAGTAGATTTGTTGGAAAATCCTAAGTGATGAGCTTAGGTAGTGGATATAGACTTCTTTCAGGAAGTTGAACCACTATAAATCATTATGAGAATTTTCCCATCTTTATACTCCTTACTTTTTAAATTTCAAAAAGTCAATTCACCACCTGTTAGCATATTTTGATTGATCGATTGAGCTTCATAAATCCTAACAATCTTCCATGACAAATATGACTTTATCGCTGCAGAATTACATGTACTAAGATACACTCAAATATAATGATATAAATTCTTGAAGACCTTTAAAAACATATTAATTTTTTTCCAATTATAAATTCAATTATCAGGACCTTTAAAATATAATAGAGTTAACCAGACTTTAAAAAACAACATGGAATGATGTAAAAGTTTTAAAGTTTAAAGATCAATTTAAAACGAGCATAATATCAAAATTTATTCTTAATATTTGAGAAAATAGTCACTTTAACTCTTATTTTTTAAAATATTTTGTCCTTGTATATTGGTTGTGGGGTAAAATATTTCTGATCAAATAAAATTTATTAGTTGACTGATAATCAACGTTTGTCGCTGACATGATAAGTCTTATGTGTCCAAAGTGACGACATGACATGTACCATGTCATCACTTATTATACATGTTATATAAGACCTCATCACTTATGCAAATATATGTGCCACCTCCTCACTGCACACATGATATGTGCCATGTCATCATCTACATAGATATGATATATGCCACATCATCACTTATGTACATATAACACTTTACCTCGTCGTCATTTTAAACAGTACTACATTTTTTTGGACATATATGTTTTTCATGTTAATGTCAAGTATTAACTATTAGTCAACTAATAAATTTCATCCAAAAATGAGTCATTTTTCTCAAAAAAAAAAAAAGAGTTAAGGATTAAATTGTTAAAAAAATAATTCAAGTGACTATTTTATCAAACATTAGGGGTATTTTTTGATATTATGTCGAAGTCATAAATTAGGGATCGACATAAAATATTTAAAAATTTAAAAATCAATTTAAATTATATGTCATGATTCAAAGACCTCCTACGCAATTAATTCGGTGCATATTGCTATCCGATAATCTTTGATCCGAGACATAACGTTCTAGTAGGAGCCGCATACTATTAAATTGCAGTCGAAAAGCAATGTAACCGTTGTATAGTAACGTTATTCAAGGTCATTGTAAATCACATATGCAATATAAATTATAGTTATTTTAAAATATAAATCACACCGTAACGTTTGTAATACCCGTAATTGCGATACCGCAACCGTAACCGTAATCATAATCGCGACCGCAATTTACTATTACGGTTAAAGGAGAGGAGGGAATGTCGATTCTTTTTCATAGGAAGCTGATGACATAACAATGACAATGCCTCTAGTTTGCTTCTCATCTCTGGCTTTGTTGAATATTCTTGTAAACCCTTCAGCCATGGCTGCATTGCTGCTGAAATCATATTCTTCTATTCACTCACCCATCAAATGCAACGCAAACTATACAACATGTTGACATTTGAAACTCGGAACTTCTACAGAGAAATAACCCCAAATGCAGTAGATATCAATTCGTTCGATAATAAAAAGCCATCCGGATCACTGAGACGAATATAAGCCAATCCTCGTCCGCACTATCTTCATTCAACAACAAGGCATTGTATTCATCGGCAGTTAAAGTTGTTCTTTGCTCATTTAAGCAAAGCACATGCCCACTTTCAACATAAGGCTTATAAGCCTCACAAAGAGAAGCTACAACCGAGTTTCCAAATGCACATCGGAAAGACTTCAAGTCGAGCCCTCTTGCGGTTCTAAGAGAGAGCATCACAACATCTGAGGCCAAGTCTCTAACATTGGTATCGGTATCGCCGGTGTAATCAGCTGTGCCATTCTCCAAGCTCTGAACAAAATCGATGTACCCTCTCATTTTTTTCGGTCTCGAAAACCTCATTCCACTTACATAACTAGCAGACCCTAGGCCAAAACCATAAAATGGTTTGTTTTTCCAGTATGTAAAATTGTGCTTACATTCGAATCCATCTCGGCAATAACTGCTGATTTCGTAGTGGTTATAACCAGCATCGGAAAGCATTCTTGATGCCGTTCTATAAAAATCGGCAGACTGCACATCCGAAGGTAAAGGAAACTCGCCCGGTGTGTACCTACAAGGATTCAAATATTAAGATAATGCTCCAAAACTAGATATTTCTACACACAAATTCGAATTCAGAGTATCATAGTAATGCTTACAATGTTCCGAATTTGGTGCCTTGTTCAACTTGCAAGTCATAAACGGAGACGTGGTTTGGCTGAGCTTCAATGGTTAACCGCAAGCTTTCGTCCCACATTTGTGGGGTTTGATTAGGAAGAGACGAGATGAGATCCAAGCTCCAATTCTTAACCCCACACGATTTCACCATCTCAATGGCCTCGTAAGCCTCCTTAACTCCATGAGCTCTCCCACAAGCCTTCAACAGCTCTTCTTGAAACGCTTGAACTCCCAACGACACTCTATTCACTCCCAACTCCATCAACGCCTCCATCTTCCTCACGTCGAAGGTTCCGGGATCCATTTCCATTGATATCTCGGCATCCGAAGTCACCCCAAATTTCACTCCCAACAAATCAAGAATCGATGAAACCAACCTCGGAGGCACGAGAGACGGCGTTCCACCGCCAAAGAAGACGGTTTCAAGGTGGATGGGACTTGAAATTCACTTTGGAAGCATTGATTTCTCGGAGTAGTAATTGGATGTAGTTCGATATACGGGGATCGTCATCGTCTTCGTCGGTTTGTGTCGGTGAGTGAGAGCCGAGAGCGACGATTGGGAAGTCGCAGTAGTAGCAGCGTTTTCGACAGAAAGGGAGGTGAATGTAAGCCGAAGTCGGAGCAAGTTGAGGGGCTGTGAAGATGTTGGGTGAGGCATTTTGTCGAACAGTTGCGGGGTTCAAATTACCGGAGATTGCACGAAGAAAGTCTTGGATATTGGGTTTGGCTGGAAAGTGGAGAAGATTGGAGTAAGGCTTGATTTGAGCATTACTTGATGAACAACAAAGAGATTATCATGTAATGGAGTGGACTGGTGGTGATTCTGGTGAAGAAGATGAGAATTCTACAACACCACCAGCTTGAGATATAGATGTTATATGGTCCAAGGGAATACGGGCCGGACCGATATATGTTCAATGAAATTAATCCAATCCGAAATTTTATAATTGTAATATGATTTTTTTAATATTGATTAAATAAACTTTTGATCAAATTTTGATATTAAATTACTCAGAAATTAATTATTTCCATTAAATTGATTAACAAATTTAATTCGATCTTTTTATCATATTATCATTTACACCTAGATTATCTTATTAGTATCGTAAATTGTTATATCAATATAATATATTGTAACGTCAACTTTGTTAAATGTTACCTCAACAAACAAAAATAACTTGACAATCTCTCACAAATAAGCTACAAGAAGGATAAAGTCGGGTTTACTATGGAATCCTATGCATTGTCTTACATATTCCACGAGTATACTGCTCGACAGAGTTTGCTAAAGTGTTTCTAGGCTATCTCTAGTAAGAAACTTGATAGTAAAATGCTACAACAATACCTCTCAGTGTAAACAACAACAAGATTATATCGAATAAGTCCTATTCATTTTAGTCGTTTAAATCATAACCTTATATGTAAGGCGAGTTAGGGTTTTACTTCCCATCTCAACCCCATTGTTCACATCGATCTAAACCTAACTCTCTCGATATTAAGCATCAAACATAGATATCATATATCTTTCAAAAGCTCTTACAAATCTAAGCATTTAAACAATGAATAAAGCAAACATTTAAACACGGAAAATATTAAATCATTCATTCAAACAAAAGCATATTCTTCCATAGCAAACCCACATTAAATAAGTTAGTTCATGGTGGGGTTGAAATCAAACATCTTCATGGAGCTTATAAGAATGAAAATCAACTAAAAAAAAGAGAAACTCCTAAGTGTGCGCTGCCGTGAACCACCTTAGCAAACTAGCTTCTATCAAAAGTCTAGCTTGCTATCCCCATGGAGCTTGGCTATGGAGAACACCACGAAATAAGGAATAAGGGAAGAGAAATGGAGAATTTTGTGAAGTCACCTCTTCATCTTTCTCTTATCTCATACTTTCCAAAACTCCTAAGGTATCTTTATCTATTTATATTAAGGGCTCCTAAGGTTTTGTGCCCAAGTTCCATTTGTACCCTAAGGGATCATTCTATTTACATGTGTGGGCTGGATAGTGGTAAAGGGAATTCATATGATGAAACAATAAAACATCTTCAGATTTTTGTCATTTTCTGCACTCAGGAATGCCGTCCAGAATTCTGCAGCATTTTTAGCCTAAGAATGCTATCGAGAATGTTGCGGCATTTTCCAATTCTCCTCCAGCCTCATTCACTTACAAAATTCACCGCCAAAAGACCACATTTCCCCTAAGCAACACCAATTTCATGAATAAAATGTTATAGCAAAACAAACATCACAATATGCAACTGCATGGGTCTAAATGCAACTATATGCCATTAATTGGGCTTTTAAACAATCAATAACCTAAGTAAAAATACACAAAATATAGTCTTTTTACGGGTTTATCACACCCCAAACTTAAGTTATTGTTTGTCTTCAAGAAACGAATAGTGATTGACAGAAGAATTACTATGGTAAAGTTCAGTCCAAACAATTGCATCCAATCTATGCTTAACAAAGTTAGAAAGTTTCTAAGCAAGTTCTCTATTTTACCTTAGTATTTATTTAAAATTTAAGCACACAATTATTCCCATTTCTTTATAAAATATTCATTGCTACAAGGGAGTCATCATATCACAACTATTTTCTTAGACTTGAAAATGAAGTGGAGCAAACACCCATTCCCTAGTCTATTGAGCAGAGTCATCCCGTGACTACTTTTATTCACTCATATGGTATTACTACCATTTATTCAAGAGGGGTTTCCAGATAATACAATGCAAAGAGAAGTGTCCCTCTACAGTTTATGCCATAGAATTTATTCATAATTCAAATTTTCAATAAGCATAGGGAGTTTAATTTAAGTCTTTTATGCTACCATTTAACATTAATTGTTCAATAATAAAGATTTATACTAAGGCATGCAAGAGTTCTTTCATAAAAAAAATTCTAACATGAACATGCAATCGTGTAAGAGTTAAATCACAAAGAATCAAGTCCTAAAGTTAATTATACCAATCTCACCAGTCATGTATATTCAATCACGACCATAATTTTTTTCATCATCAGACATCATCAATGTATTCATAAAATTATCTCTAAAGTAAACAAATGTCATAGCAAAATTCTGTTAACAATTACGAATGCAAATGATTAATTATGAACATTACCTACCCTAAACTTGGAGAAAATATTTTCCTCAATCCATGAAAACTAAGTTAAAACTAAGATAAATGAAATACATTGCACTGCAAAGTACCTTGGCTAAGTTTACTTTGGTGGTGGTGGGGTTGTCGTGTGCGATATGTGATTGACATGCCTTTTTCTTACGTAGTAATAGGCTAGTTAGTCTTGACTGCAAGAGGTGGTGTTTCTTCATCGGACTCCTTAGTGGGTGGTTTCCAAACATGATCGATTGTCCTCTTCAAGCGACACTTGGTCAATGGTGTTGCACTTTGCTATGGCATTGAAGTAAGAGGGGCATTATCATTCATCTCATCATTTGCACCAACAACGAATGAGTCTTCTTAAGTGGGTGCAGCATCCATGGGGGCTTTACCCTTGTCCACATGTTTGAGAGTCTGTTTTGCTAAAAAAACTAATATTAAAATTAACAATAAAGAAATAACATAAAAATTGCTATAGAAAAAATTAGAGAGGGTTAAAAGGGATACAAACTCTTAAAATCTTGAATTGATATAACAATTTTTGTCACGTTCGATTGGAGCACCAATATCGGCCAAAATTCCCCACACATATAGCAGTTCCACCTTTAGTATATTTTGCTTGGGAATTTAGCGTCTTCCATATATGTTCCCCGTTTATTAGCATTTATTACAAGATTTATAGAAATCTTTGTGGATCCTTGAAGAGTGTAGGCCAATAGAACTCAGATTTTGAGACCTTTGCAGTAGCCCTCACTCTTCCAAAGTGTTCTCCACATAAAGCTGAATGACAGTGGTATAGGATCTAGTTTTTCTCTTCTTTGGGGGTCACATCTTCTAATCATGTGGTCATCACATTTTTTGAAGAGGTAGAGGTCATCACAATGACAGTAGCAAACATCGTGCATGAACTTGTTCTTTCCATGGTTATTCACATTAGGAGACAAATATAACTAATGAGAAAATTAACAATGTTAGCATACCACAAAATTGTTATGACAAATAATAGTTTCTCATTAGGAAATTCATCCTTAATTTCTACTTTATTCCTTAGTTCTTTCATAATTTCTAACCTGGAAAGATGACCATCTACTTGGTTTACAGTGCCTTTCAAATCAATAATGGACCAACCTAAAGCCTTTTTATGTTGAGCTAAAACATTAACCAAACTACTCTCTTGCTCAAGCTTAAGATTACAAAAAATAATCATAGCCAAAGTTTCATTGCAACAAATAAACACACTTAAAATGTAAATGTAAGGGTTTTAACTCTAAAGTGGGCGGGTATAAGTGAGGGTTTGGAAGGAGTAAATTAAGTGAAATTTAAGGGTTTAAATTACATACTTGGTCTAGTTGCGAGTGAGATAGACTGATACATCTCTCTTGAATTTTCTTTGTGCTCCTCATCATCTTCATCATCAAGCTCCAAGTAGTCTTCGAATTTCAAGAAATTGCTACAACAAATTCTACTTCCTCTTTTGTTGGTGGGGTTTTTTCTTTTGCTGTGGAATTATGATTCCTATCTTCATTGGGTTCACTCGTTGAACCCTCAGCTTATTCTGCATAAGAGGTAAATCCTCACACTCTTCAGACTCTTTTGCATAGTTTTGGGTTGGGATCATAGAGTTTCTTCCCCAAACTTGTTTTATTTGTTAAGTTATGTGCACTCCTTAGGGTGAATGCACTACAATCTATTTTCATTGAGCCTTAGTGACTTCAATATCACTTGGTAAACTGCCTTGTGGTCATACATGTAATGCTTGATCAATTTGACTCATTTGGGTTCCTAAATCTCTTAAGGATTAACTATAACTTTGCAAAAATACCCTTTGGCTTTGTAATAATGCTCCTTAGCTCTTAATGTATATGGTGTGATATTGCAAGAAAGCCTTCGGGTCACCATAAAATCTTGGAGAGTAGCTTCTAAAGAGTTGGTGTTCGATGAAGATGTCGACCCCACGTTGGTATTTTACCACGACATATTTTGTTGAAAAACTAGGGGTCCAATCAGATGTTGTTGTCGATGCAAGCTGTTGGCATTGTGCGTTTCTTGATTCCCCCAAGAAAAATTAGGATACTAATGTCATCTGGGGTTGTAAGTGTTCGAGTAGGGGTTGTTGTTATTCCTATTGAAGTCCCCATGTAGTTGGTAAACTCATGATTTTCAGGGCACTTGCTCACATGATGATTGTCATGGAAAAAACACAAGAAGAGCTTGTAACCTTGACTTCCTTCACCTTATTATAACGTTGGAGATTCTATAACATGTTGGTAATTGTCGATAATTGAGCTAAGACAAAATCTTTAGCATCTAACTCAAATGTTCCTTGAGTTTTCCTCCATATTCTTAGCCTCAAATGTTCCATGATTTTATTGAACCAGATGGAACTCCACTAAGCCATGTCATAGCTCGATCTCTCAAAGAATATGCAAATAACTTTAATTTCAGAACATCTTTATGCACACCTTGTTGTCGAAAGAAGCCACACATCTCTAGAAACGCACGAATATACTATCTTGTATCCTCATGAGGCGCACCACAAAACTGTCCAATCGAGTTCAATATGTTAAACATCACCGGTTTGAGCTCAAAGTGGGTTGTCTGAATTATTGGAGCTACGATTCTAGGGTTGACATCGTCCAAGATGAGTGCTAAATAATCCTTAATAGTTTTTGTTCAAGCTATAACCCCGTCATTGCGAATTGTTGCAAACCCACACCAAATAAG